CTATTATTATTTAGTTTCTTTCCTACTATTTTGTTATCATTTACTGTTCTGTAATCCATACTGCTCCATGATCTGTATTCGCACATAACTGACGTATGATTTTCAGATAATCTCCTTGTAAATGATGTTTTGACAAATAAATTTGGGGGTAAAAACCATACTGACTCTCTGTTCAATGACTGCACAAAGTAGACAGTATAAGACTAAATCTAAAATTCAGTTAATAGTACACAAAATTTCCTTCAATATCATTAAATTTGTATCGACAACTGATTGAAGATGGCTCATAGGTAAGCAATTTTACCAAACACAAAACTGACTAACATATGTTGAATGCTAACTGATTGCACAAGAACTTCCTTCAAATTTTGCAATTAACCAGTGAAGTCAACTTTGTCTCTCTTTGTAAAATATCTCATGAACCACTTAACAGATGTTACTGAAAATCTCAGAATAAACACTGGTAGTGTGTCTGCAACATTTGGAGTCAAAGCAAAAAAATGGCTGCCACAGCTGATGGACCTTTGCCAAGACAGAAATGTCTAGAACTTACTCTGATTTACAGACAATAAGCTACACTTCATGTGGCAGAAGCTGAAAGTTTTCAACACGTATTTTAAGCGTTAACACATCTTACAAGATGCTAGTGGTGCTGATGGCTGTAGCCTCTAATTTAAAAGAGTGTTTTAGCAGAGAGTGTGAAAGCAACATTCCATGTGATTCATTCTGTGAGTGCTTGTCACCTGGCAGAGATGTGGACATGGTCCTGCTCTGGATGCTGGGACTGAAAGGTCCTCCTCCTTTGCTGGTGAAAGCTTGAACTCTGAAGTCATAAGTTGTGTCAGGCTGCAGATCCTGAACCGTCATCTGGATTTCTGAGGTACTGTTGGTGCTGTTCTGCAGGCTGTTTATATCTCGATACATCACTACATATTTAAGGATCTTTCCGTTCCTCTCGGCCAGAGGAGGGGGTTCCCAGGCCAGCTTGGTGGATGTGGAAGTTAGGTCTGCCACATTCAGATTCTGTGGATAGCTGCTGGGGACGTCTTCAGGGGTGCTGATCTCCTTTTCATATTCCTCCCCGGTGCCCGCTCGGTTTTTAGCCGACAGCTTGAAGATGTAAGTGGCTCCTTTATGGAGGCCAGTGACGGTGAAGTGATCGTCAGTCTTTCTGAAGTCTTTGACCACAAAAGGTTCCTCATCAGATCTCTTGTACTGCAGCTGGTATCCTACATGCTCCCCCACAATCTCTTTAGGGGGCTGCCACTGGATCAGAGCAGTGTTGCCTGTCAGTGTGCTGATCATCATAGTAGGCTTTCCAGGGACTGAAACACACGTAACATCTCTTAAACACCTAAAATTTACAGCACTGAAACCATGACATATATTCACACATCTCAGACATTAGTTTTGATTGAAAGACCCAGTTTTGTGTGAACAGTTCATTAAATATATTTGTTATTACAAAGGTTGTGATTTGGAACACTGGTGACCTTTTTACATTCTAAAGGCAAACAAAGAGGGACAAAAGAATTCTTCTTTTTATTTTGTTGCTAAACAACCTGGAATTTAAATTGGTGTTTTGTTTATGCCATAATTTACCAACAACAAAAAATGAATTAGTAACATTCAATATAAAAAAATATTTAAAATAATTAAAAAAATATGTATTGCCTTAGACTTTTAAAGTGGGCAACAATGAAACTCTCAAAACGAAATTATTGGTCATACCTCTGCAACTAAATAAATTTTGGAGTTACCCCATTTGAAGATGCCAACCTCATCAGCTCGACATTACAGAAGAATGGCTTTGATTCGATCAGTCTTACAGATATTTACTAAATTTACATTATAAATGGCGAATTTGACGTGTGGCATATCTTTAGCACTTAAAGGACAAACCGTAGTCTCTAAAGCCCGACAATCAAAAAGACTCAAAACTAAAACCTGAACTCTCTTCCTGATGCACCAAATTGACTGAAATGAAAAGAGAAACATTCAAGCTTTTTGGGGGATTTTGTGTTCCTGATAAAGTAATCTTTGAAACTTTGGCACAAGAAGCCACTGAGAGCTTCATCATGGTTAGTGAGGTCAGCAGGTTACTGAAGAAAACCTGAGTTATGTTCAACATGCATCAGAAGGCTTGGTCCCCTGTCACAACTGCATGCAGGTGTAGTTGAATTTTTTTTAATTGGATAAGAAAAAAAACATAAGAAGAACGTATCTATGTTAGCGTATCTATACATACAAAGGTTGGCAAGTTATTTCTGTTGAGTGTTTTTTATTATGCAATCTACATTTTGTTGCTGTACTTTTGACATGTACAATAACAATAACATTGAATTTAATGTAATCTAATTTCATTTGGTTCCTTTTGTCTTTTGTTTGCCTTTCACTAGTCTGAAAGGTACAGGTATTAAAAATATATATTTATATCAATAGTTGATGCACGCACCAGCTCCTTTGGTAGTCACCACTCTGGCCCTGCTGAGCGCTCCATCCCCCTTAGAGGTAAAGGCTGCCAGGGCCACAGAATATGAAGTCTCAGGAAGCAGAGAGGATATAACTGCCTCCTAAACAATGAAAGACATGATGGTAGAAGAACAAAAACAAACACAAATTATCTACAAGCTTTTAAACAGAGAGAAAATCTATTAATCAAACTTCCATCTTTAAGGTGTGGATCTTTCTTTAAAATCCAAAAGTAAATGAAACATTTTCAACACAGTTTCAAGATGTTGAGGGAAAATAAAGTTTAGTTTTACACACACACACACACACACACACACACACACACACACACACACACACACACACAC